AAGAAACAAATAACATCATCCGCTAGTAAAGGCATTTCACGAGCGTTCGGTGGTAAAAATCAAGGACCGTTCACAGTAATACGAATTCTAGGACCCTCAGTTTACGAAATAGCAACCGAAGAAGGTAGATCATTAGGTAGATACCCTATCAAACTCTTGATTCCCTATAGAGATTCTAGGTAGAGGGGGGATAAGAAGTAAAATCGAAAACTACACCTCCTTAAGAAATTAGTTATAAGTTAAATCGAAATTAGTAGATTAATAACAGAAAAACATTATTGAAAATATAAAAATTGGTGATGGTATCATATTAGGTAAGGTAACCAAAGTTAAGTAGAGAAAAATAACCTGATTACAGAAGAAGAAGAGGCACTTCGGAGAGAGGCCGACCGGAAAAGAGAAGTAATCTCACAAATAGAACGGCTCGTCGTCGAATTGAGATTACCGAATAGCGAGACGACCAATACCAACACCCAGAAAACCACAGCCAGCATCCGATCAACGGCACAGGTGCCAGAAATAAGCTTCGCCGATGTATACCTACCAGACGGTTGGCTACCCGCAACATCTACAGGTAGGAATGACGAGCCTCCCCGCAACTCCCCACCAAGGGTTACACTGGACGCCTCAGGAGGAGCAATCCAGCGGCAACCCAGAAACAGGGTTGATTACGTAGAACCGTTAAGACCGGTAAGATACGGTGTAGCGCCCTCCCGCGAAAACTACACACCAAGGGACACGCAGGAAACATCCGGAGAAACAACGCAACAACAACCGAGGAATAGGGAAGACTATCCTACCCAACCACGACCACAAGCGACCATAGGAGTGACGCAAGCGCAAAGCGGTGGAGCACATCCCACAAGAGAAATGCCGCGTCGCCTCACAGGCGAAACTTGGAAGGAGTTTCGATTACGTTGCGGAATATACCGACCACCCAAATTTGTCCGACAAAGGAAAGGCCAACATTACAGGGGAGAAACTCCAGCCGAACGCGGCCGAAGAGAGGCCAAAGAATATAAGGCCCGCGCCGAAAGACAAGCCATTAAGGACGCAGTTGACCGCAAGAGACAAGCGGAAGTACGAAGCTCGACAATAATATCTCGCAAAATACCGCCAAGAAAGAGAACAACGAGAGAGGGAAGAAAAGGCAAATCTCCGTATAGAAGCCACAGCTGTCATTGGGGACATCATCGAAGAATTATGGGAAGCGACCCGGCACCGAAGCATTGAGGCGGAGATTTGGAAGCTCAATCACATCCCCGAAACGGCGGAAACAGCCAAACGTAGAATGTGGTGCGGCAAATGCGGTAACCGAGGACACCCAGAGGGTGACTGGCCCAATATCGAATAAGGACAGAATAAATCGTTTTTTTTTGTTTTTGTTTACGATTATTAAAAGGAAAAAGAGATATATTTTTTTTTATTATTTTTATTATTATTGTTAAACAGGCAGATAGGACGACAACAGCCTTCCGAGGAAAGACGTTTATTTTATTATGCTGTTGTCAACGACAAGTTAAATAATTAGGTTTAGTTTTTCTTATTTTTACAATATTAAGCTACAGAGGCAGATAACGACAACAACAGCCTTCGGGTGAAAGATTTGAGTATTCTATTTTGCTGTTGTCAGCGACAAGTTGAATAATTAGGTTCAGTTTTTCTTATTTTCTACCATAGTAAGCCACGGAGGCAAACAACGACAACAACAGCCTTTGGGCGAAAGACTTTATCATTTTGTTTCGCTGTTGTCGATTGTAAATGAGATGATTCGGTTTCGTTTTTTTTATATACATTTCACGATTATATGGGTAGGTACGCCAGAGTGAATTATCATTTTGTTTTGTTATATACTAACCTAAATAGAAACACAAGTTATAATAAAACATCTTTTCTGCTAATCAGTTCAAAATGAATTGTCCTTTCTTTATTATTGTCAACTTGCTGACTCACCTTTGCCCTTGAGAAACCCGTAATATCCATTCAAAGGAAGAATCGGAGGACAACATTACCTAAAACCATGCAAAACTAAAAGGTAGGTAGAAAGGACATTGCAGGTAACAAGATTACTCAGTTAAACTTTTTCTTTATTTTTGAAAGCATCCATTACCTTGCCAGATCGATTAAGTTTCAAAAGGACTAAAGTCTCTTTTATAATTTATAAGGAATATTAATGACGAGAGGGACATGTTCTGATCATAGACCCAGAGATATTCAGAAATATGTTTCTGCTAAGTCCGGGGGAGTTGTAACGTTGATTTTGAGTAATAAAGTTATAAAAACCGAAAAAAAGAGATTTCGCCGAAACGTATTTAAATAATTATTTATTATTATCGTACATAAGATAGTGTGGCCAGACGCGAACTCAACATTTATTATACCAATTTTATCTTTACATTGTATTGAGTCGATATAATAAAAAAACGTTGAGTTGTATAAAAATGTTAGCATTTATCTTCGGAGAGAATTCCACACGACTAGGTTGATATTACTCTATATTATATCAACCACCAGTTTATTTATTCATTGGTGATTGATTGTCGATCAAACGAGAAGGAATAACAACCACTACTATCATCTGGGGCAATTGGATTGGCAAAAAGGTTGACTGGTAACCACCTGTCATGGATGTTGGGCCTGTAGTCATGTTGCAGGGGCGAACCCGAAGTGCGCATGACCCATATACGGGACCGAAGCAGGACGCCAATTAACCTAATTTCTCCAGTTCGTGCCTGGCCGCCGAGATAGTTTCACGGTATCACCGCGACAGTCCAATCCAATATTTTTGACCAGAGCAATGGATTACCGTGTCTTATTGCAACAGGCAAAAGGTTAGTGTTCAGGACATCCTCTCCTCGTCATTATTATAGCGAAACCGGTGTACGGTGTAACCGCTTTAAAGTTCATTCGTCAAGGACCGCATGGCATGTTGACAGGACGCCGCCATTTTTGGTCGACGCTGAATACTCACCGGCATGTGGAAGTTCCCTCGTTCTCCGCTTCTGTACCACTTATTTAATAAATTCAGTGATGGTTCTGTGTAAATAAAATTAGTGATTTGTTTTATTATTTGTATTAGAATCTCAGGATTACCCGTCTCTCTCCTCTGCGTGCGGTACTTACGACCCTACCGTCAAGTGAAAATAGAATAGTGAGCTCGGTTTTGAGCTAGACCGGGAGAGTTCTCATTTTATAAAGCCATCGTGACCCGGGTAGTTTACCTACACGGCACCGGGGAAGTTCCCTAAAACGGGTCATTGCTGGTATTTTACGAGGCCAAAGTGTGGGACTCGTAAATCGGTTACATAACCATTTTTGTAGCGTTGTGGTAAGAAAAAGTACCAAGGCAGAAGAAACATCGCTACAATATATATATTCTTTCTACCTGCATAAGATCATTGAGCTCCTTCGCCCTTTTTCTCTTTTTTTTCGTCTAGTTTTCCACTAACCAGTTAGTTATAATATTTCCATGGACGTGAGAAGACCACTTTCATTGTACCAGGATTTCCTCTATCTGATCTGGATTTTCAAAAGGGTTTTGAGTGCCGCCTTTAGTGTCGATTTACTACATATCATTTTCATTTGGTGAGTTTTTTCAAAGAAACGTTCATTTGAATTGGATTGATCACCTCGACCTTTTTTTTCGTTGATCTCGAAGTGGTTAAGTTCCACTTGCAATAACGAAGTTCTGAGATTTGCCGTTTAACTTTTGTAAGAACTTAAAGATTGTGTTAAAATTTTTAAAACTTAAAAAATATTTTGAAGTGAAATATGTTAAAAAATGTTCGAGCATGTTTTTCTACAACCCCACGGCGAAAAGTGTTGATCGACGGCTAAATTGTAGAAAAGCTTGCTCGACCCTTTTTTAACATATTTCAGGAATCACAAAACATTTTTTAAGTTTAAAAAATGCAAATTAAAGCTGAGATCTTAAAGATTGCGCTGTAAAATTGTAAAATTTTTCCATACATTATTCTAGATTATGCCGGAAGTCAAAGCATTAGTACTAAAGTAGAAAAATTGAATAAATTTTTCACGAATACTTTTCGGTGTTATAAATTTTTATTGGTTTTATGCTGTTTTGAGGGGTGGGGCATTTGTTTTCGATTTTAAAAACTTTGTAATTTTGTATTTAGGGCACCTAAATACAAAATTTTTAACATTTTTTAATAAAATTAATAACTTTTTCAAAACTTAACTGCTATATTGGATCCGCCGTTTTTAATTTTTAAAAATTGATTTCATATTCGTAATCAGCGACGTCATAAACTCCTTGAAACAAAGTTTCATAAAATTTCAATATTTTGCAAATAAATTACAAATTTTTTCAAAATTTATAAGATATATTAGATCCACTTTTATAACTTTTTAAAAACCGACTTCATTTTCGTTATTAGCGACCTCAGAAACCCCTATATATACAGTTTTACATTAATCGTTTTCATAATTCGTAGAATAATTAAACTAACTCCTAAAAACTGTTAATGGTGGTTTCTACCCCTGAAATCGTTTTTGAGCCGATATGAAAAACCACGTGTCAAATTTTTTCAATAAATTACTTGTATGTAAAGTTTTAGGCGTCTTTTTCAGGCGAAAAATAACGTCTGACAGTGCCCTATTATTACTTTTAAGAGCCTGAAAACTTTAAAGTATCAATTTCCAAGTGGGTTTGATTAATTTATAAAATTTTGGTTTACATATTACATCCGCTATTTTTAATTTTGAAAATCCGACTTCAGATTCGTAATAAGCTATCCCCAGACTGACGTTTTAATTTATATTATCTTATGATTATTCACAATCAACTTTTCCAATTTTTTAAACTATATTTAATGTTAAAACAAATTGTTAAATTTGTAAAAATTACACGTATTTTTGTACATTCATTAAAATATTATGGTGTTTAATTGTTCAAAACAACACCCTTAATGGAAGTTTGTTGTCTAAAAATATATAAGGAATATTACTACAGTCACTGTACTTTTATAATTTACTTGCAGATATCTTGTCCTTCCTGACACATTTATCATACACCGACCTCATGCACCTAGTGAAGACATTGCTAAATTTAGAACGAGTCATATTTATCGAAGGTACAGTATTGAATATTTATTTAAGAAATCTAATAAATCAATCAAAGTAAACTCTAAATTAATTTTTGGCTTCAAGTAAGTAATACAGGCCTGCAAAATGAACAATCTTTTGGGCACTTAACACAAAACTGGGCTTAAAAATTACAAAGAACGGCAGATTTAAAAAAATTGGCTTAAGGGGGAGTGACACCTTTGACCCGAAAAAAATCGATTTTTTTTGTTTTCTTAAACGATACTTTATGATGTGTAGAATAGAAATTATATCAGCAAAAGCGATTTCGAAGATATTTTATGTAAAAAATCGAAATCTGCAGAAGGATTCCAAAAGCGCTTCCAGAGCTTGATAGCGATATCGGCTATTTTGTCTTTTACCATGGTAACAATTGCGTACTTTTACGCTCACAGACGCTCGAAAGGCTGAAGATGAAGACAATATTAATGTAGAAGGCCAATTATACGGTGCAAGCATCGCAGATTAACGTTGATTTCATTTTTTTATAAGTTTTCATCACAGTTTTCCTAAAAGTATCAAATTGAGACCAAAAATTGCATCAAATCTTTGCAACGTTTTGATGCATATAAGTTATATCAAAAAGAGATCGTTTTGTGTATCATTTTTAGAAATGATACACGAAACAGTCTCATTTTTTGATGCAAAAAATTTAATCAATTTATATAAATCATGGCCGAATTGAATCGACTCAAAATTAAACGAATTTTTTTCAGATATTTTGGTAATAGTACAATTGCGGAGACCATTTCACTATTTAATTTGAAAATAAAAATAACAGAAAATCAAAGACAATGTGCAATTCGATAATTAAAAAGTGACAGCTTATAAACATAACCTAAAATGCATGAGAAAAAATTTGTCGATAAAATCAATATAGCCGAGCTTTTTAGAAGGTAGATGGCAGCACTCATGTTTTTTCTTTCTTTAAATTTTTTCTGAATCGTTTTTATAAAAAGCAAAACTCTTACTTGCTAAATGGAAATATTGGTCAAAAAGATGTATTATGTTATCAAAAAAAGTAATATTGTAATCAATAATATTGGTTTACATCAGAAATTAATTATTTTCAACAATATTTTTAATAAAATAATTCATAATTTTTTGCAATATTTTTAATGAAAAATTAATTTTTTCACAAATATTTTTGATCAAATAATAAATATTTTTTTCATCAAAAATATTGGTGAAATAAATTGATTTTTTAATCAAAAATATTGGTGAAAAAAATTAATTTTTTTATCAAAGAAAAGCTGAAAAATATTAATTTTTAACTGAAACATTGGTGAAAAATATTTATTATTTGATCAAAAATATTTGTCAAATTTTAACAAAAAATTGATAGAACATTTAAATTTTCTAAATTATTTTTCAGATTTGTGATCTTCACCTTTATTAGATTTGTCTTTTTTATTATTCTTATCTGACATCATTTTCGTACTCAGAGACGCCGAAAGCCCTTAGATACGAAGTTTTATAAAAAATTAACAATTTTTATAAATTTCAACCGTCATATTGAGTCTGCCATATTGAATTTTAAAAATGTACAATCAGATTCGTACTCAGCGACCCCAAAAACTCAGAGATACGAAGTTTTATAAAAAAACTAATAAGATTTATAAATTTCGACCACCATATTCGATCCGCCATTTTGAATTTTGAAAACCCGACAACGAATTCGTTATGAGCGACCCCAAAAACCTTCAAGTAACAAGTTTCAAATGAATTCGATGAACTTTTATAAATTTCGACCGCCATATTGAATATGCCATTTTGAATTTTAAAAATCTGACTTCAGATTCGTACTCAGCGACACCAAAAACCCCTAGATACCAAGTTTTACAAAAAATAATTAATATTTATAAATTTCGACCGCCATATTGGACCCGCCATTTTGAATTTTCAATATCTGACATCATATTCGTTATCAGCAACCCCAAAAACCCCTAAGTAACAACTTTCAAATGAATTGGTGAATTTTTAGAAATTTCGACCGCCATATTGGATCCGCCATTTTGAATTTTAAAAATCTGACATCAGATTCGTAATCAGCGACCCGGAAAACCCCGAGATATTGCACTTAAAATTAATTAAAATTTTCTTAATTTTTCAAAAAATTTAAGAAATTTAAAACAGTTTTCAACTCGAAATGTTTTAAATCAATCAATTGAATTGGAGAAATTTGAGATTAGTTTCTAGTACCAAGCACGTCTATTTCCAGTGCTAAACTTCTACGAAAACCACAATTTTCGATTTTTACAAAATCCTGACTTTCTGGGCAATTTTTAAGCCCACAATCGTATCTATACTTAATTTAAAAAGGAGCAGTCCACGTTCGAGATTTGAAAAAATCTAAGACTCTCTTTTTACATACAATTTAGAAGTCCCATGAAGAAAATTAAGAGATACTTTTTAGTAAACAAGTAATTGACCCCCAACATGACCGTGCGCATGGTACTTCCACGAGCCTCAGCGGTAGGTAGTAGCTACAATTCTTTTTAGTAAATTATTATGACATGCTTTTTTAAGAAACAAACTGGGAACATCTTCTCAATGAGGAAGGTGAAATCTACGGCTTTAATACAACCGACTAAGTCGCAACCCGTGTGGAAATGGTTAGTATGGGCAATCTATGGGTTAAAATTTCATATTTATGAATATTTCAAATTTTTTCTAAGTTTAAAAAAAGCAAAAAATTTCTATGTTTAAAAAAATCAAAGATGTTTTTAAGAATCAAAATAATCTACTATCTGCAAGAATTTTATACTCGTCATAAGAATTCCGAATCTTATAAAAAAATAAGGTCCTGTATTTTTTCTTATTTTATAAAATTGTAACATTCATTAGATTAATATGAAAAATCAATTTAATATCCAAACGTTGTTAAAATTATGCAACTTGAAAATTGTAACATTTAAATTTTTTTATAAATTCAACAATTTTTATTTAAATCTTTTTACACCCCAGCTAAGCTGAGAAATGATAAAAATAAATCTATAGTGGTTCTTAAAGTTATTGAGGACGCTGATTACGAACCCGCGTGGAAACTTAAGTATGGCGAAGTCAAGCAAAATAAGCGCTTAGTATTATAGACCAAGTAATCTGTGTTTAGCTGTACTTTTAAACCTTAAGTAGAAACTAAAAAACCATGGCTTATGGCCGTTTGCCAAGGTCACAAATTAATATGTGCAAGAAAAATATTTTAACTCTGGGAGTTTAGCAAAAAGCTAGCAAACCTTGGTATTAAAAAAAATCATTTCTTCATTAGTAAGAACTTGCAATTTTTTTACCTTTAAAGTAAAGCTAAATTCGGGAAACCTTGGTCAGAGCAAAAACCGTGATTTTATCATTTTTCAACTCTGGTAAAATTGGAAAAAGTTAGCAAAACTTAGGCAAAAAAAATCATATTTTTACGGTTAATTTGTACTTTCTTTACCTCAAGAGAATTGCTAAATCCGGGTAAATTCTCACTCTCTTTTTCGCTGTCTTCTTCCCCGCTGTCTGTTTTATTGCTTTCTGCTTTCTCACTCTCTTTTTCGCTGTCTTTTTCCTCGCTGTCTGTTTTCTTACTTTCTGCTTTCTCAATCTCCATTTCGCTGTCTTTTTCCTCGCTGTCTGTTTTCTTACTTTCTGCTTTCTCAATCTCCATTTCGCTGTCTGCTTTCTCACTCACTTCTTCGCTATCTGTTTTCTTGCTTTCTACTTTCTCACTCTCTACTTAATCGTCTTCTTTATCGTTTTCTTCTTTCCCGTTCTGTTCTTCCTCGCTTTGTGCTTCTTCGCTCTTTATTCCCTCACACTCTGCTTTCTTACTCTCTACTTTCGCGCTTCCTGCTTTTTCGCTCGTTTCATAATTTGCTTCTTCCTCCTCACTGTCTACTTTCACGCTCTCTTCATCATTTTTTTCATTAGTTTTTACAGTAATTTTTTTAGCCTTCACTTTGCTTGATACCTGTTTACCTGTCTGTTTCTTCGGATTACGAAGAGTACCACAAGTACTATTAATTAATTTTGTCATGTCCTTTTCCGTAAAATCTTCAGGTACATATTTTTTTCCGTTATACGTAATCTAAAAAATGTTAAATGTATTATTATTTAATACTAATAATAATTATTTTTATTTTAATTTAAAAACTTACAAAAAGAACAGGATATTTAATATAATATTCAAATAAATAAAATATTTTCGATTAAAATATTTTTTGCAAATGGACTTTATTTTAAAAGTCTTAATTAAAATGAATAAAATTTTTACTTACAAGTAATAGCTATTCGAACATCTTCTGGGACTTCCATTCTTCCCGGCCTCCTTCCCAAAGCACACATGTTTTTTAATTTCTCTGTCCCTATTATTTCAAGGAGGATAGAGCGCATTTTTATTTTAACAATTTTAACATTTTTTTCAATTTGGGATCACAAAAACTTAAATTACTTAGATAAGATTAAGAAACGAAATAATATTTTTTTATAAATTTTTAAACGTGAAAAATTAAAACTAAACAACAATTATTACAATTGTAGAGAACAATACTATGATTGTCAAAAAAAACACTCCGACGCGCACGACGACTCGTTAGTCAATGGCGACGCGAACAAGCTAGCAGCACGTCAATTCTAGCGCATATTCTTGTTTTAAGAAGAAGAAGATTTAGTACATAGAAAATATTCTTAAAGTTAGAATCTGCTTAAGAATATTATTAAGAATATTTATGTAAGAATATAACATTCTTAAAACTAGAATATTTTAAGAATATTTTTAAGAATTTTTTTTAAGAAAATAATAATCTTAAAACTAGAATACCGTTTTTTCGGTGTAATTAAAATTCCCAAAAAATATTGTTAATAAATATGTATGTTAATAAAAGCTTTAAATATAATAAAAGTGAAAGATATATGTTTTTTAACTTACTGGAAAATTAGATGTGCCTGGCAAATCAGTTGTGACTGGTAAATTTGATGCGCCTGATAAATTCGACCCAGTATAAACGTGTTTTCTTAATAGCTCCATAACTATTGCAAAAAAAAACAACCGTATCTAGAGTTAATACTAAAACCATTAAAAAGAGACATAAGGCATCATGGTTGAATGAATCAACAAGTTCATCGCTTTTTATAACATTTTCGACTTCTTGACCTTTAATAAAAAGATTAAATGTTTTCAGCGATAAATACGTTAAAGAAAATGGATCGAAAAGTTTGACAACTGTTATTTTAATTTAAATAGTATTAAAAAACTAGTATGAATAAATTTTTTTCACGATCTTAGTTGAATTATTAGAAAAAGAATTGTTTCGGTCCTCTGTAATCTTTATCTTCTTAGCTGTGAAAAGTTTTTCGTATAAAAATTTAATAATACATTTTTTTAAACTAAGGTTATCAATGCAAAATTGAACCACATTATTTTCACATAGAAAAATTTTACTTGGAAAGTTTGAATTTTTAGTTTTACCTAAGGGTTGCTCTTCCTTTTCTTCGGTTAATTTCCTTTTCCGAGTGTTCTCCATGTTCGTACTGGATTTTATTTTACCATCAATTTGCCCTGATATTTCATCTGTAATTTAAAATATGCAAATAATGAGGGTGCAAAAAACAGGCTTCTTTTTTAAATGGAGATAAAATTATTCGTTTAGAAATGTTTATAGTAGTGCAAATATGAAATGAAATAATATAAATAATAATAATAAATAATAATATAAATGAAACTAATACAAAATATAGTAAAAATAAACAGAATTAAAAATTAAAAAACTAATAAAAATCAGCTTTTAGTGAATAAAAATTATTGATAAAATTATTATTATTATTTTCTGTTATTTATAAATAAGTAAATTTTACCAGATGAAGGGGCAAAATCAATTATTTGCGATTCATTTTTATTTTGAATTTTTGAGTTATCTTCCTTATTTTCTTTTTTGGTTGTTCTTTCTCTTTACTTTTCTGTTTAATTTTCTTTGTTACTTTTCTTGAATTGCTTTTATCTTCTCTTTTTCCATTGATTTCTTAGTTTTTTCAATATTTTCTTTTCGCTGTAATTGATCTTTTTCTTTTCCTTCTGCTTCTCCTTTTTAGTCAATTTATCAGATTTGGATTCTTTCTTCTCTTCTTTCGATTCTTTGCTTTTCGGACTTCGGGAGTTTTCACTGGAAAAAGATTTTAAATTGATTTTTTTTTAAATTTATTTTCTTTTTATTTTTTTATAAGTATTTTATTATTATTATTTATTATTATTATTATTATTATTATTACTATTATTATTAATATTATTATTATTATTTATTATTATTTTATTATTATTTTATTATTTAATTTTTTTATTTTAATTTAATTAAAAATAATTTAAAAAATTTAAATGTTAAATTTAAATTGAAGAATGTTTAAATTATTTTAATAAAAAATAAACATTATAATAAATTAAATTAACAAATTGCTTGAAAAATAATTACTTTGCAAAGAGAATTCATTAATTGGAAGTACGGTTTTGGTTCATAAATTCGATTCTAAAATTTTACTCGTTTCGTCCTCATAGTTTTTTTCAATTTTTTGGCTGCTCTTTCTGAATCCGATTTTGCTTTAGGTTTTGAATTTTTCTTTTCAGAATTTTGCGATTTTCCAATAATGTTTCCTTCCGCTGATACGTCGATTTTCTTAAGAAATTTTTTCACTTCTAAAATTTAAAAAAGAAATTATTTGATTATTTTTCTAGAAAGTAAAATGAAAAGCTAAAAGTAGTATAACTATGTCACTCTCAGGAATTAGTACCTCAGGCTGCCGCTAGATGGCGCCACTGTCGCTTACCGCCGGTCGGTATTTACCCACAATCGGTAATGTAGATATTAGTTCTGCCGGCTGCCACTAGATGGCGCCACTGTCGGTCGCTATTATCATCAGTCGGTAATGTAGATTTCTGTATTATCAGCAGGTAGGTTATGTTAAGTAGGTTTAAAGGCTACACGTGTAGTTGGACCTACTGTTGTTTTGTACTCTGAAAGGGTAAGGGGGATTTTGTAAGTGGAGGGGATACGTGTATATATAAGTGGCTCAAGGTATTAAAAATAGCAGAGCGACAATGGAGAAAGCAGCCAAGCAGACACCATAATCTTAACTACCGAAGATGACCAAGCCGATACAATAATTCTATCCTCTTCTGATAATGATATGGAGGAGAGAGATATTTGGAGTCCAGGTTACTACACCCTTGGAGATTATGACTATGTAGATGATGACGATGAGGATGTCGAGGTGGTGGAGGTATCCTGGGTCCCAGTTTTGAAAATGTTGTCTGGATTCGAAACTCGGCAACACAGACAGATGATGTAAATATTTCCTGACACAATTAAAAAAAATTATTAGAATTTTTTGAAAAAAAATTAAAAAATTTTTAGTTTTATTAAATATAAAATTTTAAACTTATTTAATATTTTTCAGTTGGAACAATTTGCAGCAGAGAATGTGTTGCGAGAACAAAACAGGGATCCTCAACCAACATCTACAGAATCTGTACCAAATCAACCAACAACTCCTGAAGCAATTGTATCGCCATGGCGGTCACCATCTGCAGAAGCTGTTGAAAATCAAATTAACGAACGAAGACGACATGCCAGGAGTCATCGATGTAAATGTAGACGGTGTCATCGTCGACATAGACATCACTGTAGTTGCCACAGACACCACCATCACAGAAACCACCATCACAGACATCACCATCACAAACACCATCATCACCTGCGAAACCCAGAAAATTTTAAAAATTTATATGTTTAAAAAAAAGAAAAAAAAATTAATTTCAAGAAAAATAAATAATTTAACAAATTATTTTTTTTCAAACTTTGTAAAAAAAAATTTCAAATAATTTTTAAATAAAAATTTTATTTTTTAATTAAATATTGTATTTTTTAATTAAATATTTTTTAAATTGATTTGTTTAAAAAAAGAAATCATAATTTATAAGACTTTTCTCTTTTTTTATATATTGAAATTTCTATAAAAACAAAATATTACAACTTTACTGATTTACTTTTGTAAAAATTTAAAATCACTTTTAAAATTAAATTTATAATTAACACTTTAATAATAAATTTTAATTATTTTTTAAAATTAAGTGAATTATTATTTATTAGAATCATATATTTTCACTTATTTTGAAATATTCAGTTGTAAACAAAGATCATAACATTGACTTCTGCTAACACTGAAACTTACAATTAAGATTGTAACCTTGCATTATTGATCACTATGATATATCGATTATGATATATCGATTATGTTTCTTTTGATCACCACGGTGAGTGCTGCAGTCATATCGATCACTATAAAGATTGTCCCCATAATATATCGATTGTATTTCCCTTCATCACCGCGTAACCGTGGTGGCGCAGCAGTCATATTGATCACTGTATCGATTTTCACCTTAACATATCGATTATATTTCTCTTTGTCACCACGGTGGCGCTACAGTCGCGGTGGTGTAGCAGCCTGTCTAGCAAGTTTTCCATGAGGATCAACCATAAGACTAAGGCTGCAGTCCCATGGCAGCGTTTTGCGTTGCGTTTTGTCACTAGACCATGAGTGTAAAAGAGATGCAGATATATGTTTGCTATGTTTACACTCAGGGTCTAGTGACAAAACGCAACGCAAAACGCTGCCATGGGACTGCAGCCTAAAAGATGTATACAGATACCTCTAAAATTTTAAGTATGTGGCCCTGGATCAGGTTTCAAATTTTTCAAAACAATAAACAAATGTATCACAGACGAAGTGATAAGATGTATTATAATAGTATACAAGTGAATTTCTTACTGAGTAGAATTTTAAAAGATCTCTTAGTAGAATATATAAAAATAATATAATTTAAAACTTAATTATAACTTATATTTAAAAAGAAATTTATTAATAATAATTTTAATTAAGAAAAGCAACAAAATGCAAGTAGAAGTAATAAGAAATAAAAAATTAAAAGATCCTAGGATAAATAGTAATTTAAGAAGGGTAATGTATTTACCATTACCACAATTCACGCATGATGCGAATTTGTTAAAAATTGATACCATGAGACGTAAATTTTAAAGAAGAGCTCGAGAAGTAAGTATTGTGTTAAATAATTGTTAATAAATAATAATAATGATGATAATAATAATAAAATGTAAATAAATTTATACAATAATAATAATATTTTAAAAATTATACAATAATTATTAATAAATATTAGTAAATAATTGTTAATTAATTAAATCTATTAAATATTTTAGATTCCACAAGAAATGCGGCAATCTCAGATTGGACCGTACATTTCAAAATTCCCGGTTGTGCCTGACTTCAGGATCATGGCTGAATTTATAAATTCATACCATTGGGCGCAAGTTTACACAAAGATACAAGTAAAAAAAATTTTTAATTATATTATTACATTTTTTAATTAAAAATGTTATTATTAATATTTATTTTCTTAAATTAAACTTTAATCATTTATATTTCTATTAACCTAAAAGAAAAAAACATATTATTTAGCTTCCATGTATTCTAAAGGTACAACGAGAGTAAGAAAGCATTTAAAGGTCCGCGCACAGTTGCAGTCAACCAAGCTGTGAGTGTTCCTTAAGGTACGCGCACAGTTGTAAAGTTGGGTTTACAATTGACACGTTCGAACGCGGGCCTATGACGTCACGCGACACGTTCTCATAAAGGTGCTTCTCCATGGGCCCGTTCATACGTGGTACGTTCTACGTGGGACGTATGACGTCACACGACATGTTTTCATAAAGGTGCTTCTCCATGGGCCCGTTCATACGTGGGACGTATGATGTCACACGACATGTTTTCATAAAGGTGCTTCTCCGTGGGCCTGTTCATACGTGTACGTTCTATGTGACGTCATACATCAGCACGTATCAATTTTACGTGACTTTACAATTGTACATCCATCTTAACGGCATGCATCAGCCGAGCTTTGAGTATTCCTTAGAGTACACGCACAGTTAAAATGACATATAAATTGATAAAGTTAAACAAACTCGACCTGTGACTTACATGCTAATACGTTCTACGTGGGATGTATGACGTCATACATCAGCGCGTATCAATTTTACGTGACTTTACATGCATCAGCCGAACTTTGAGTATTCCTTAGGGTACACGGACAGTTAAAATGACATGTTATAGTTGAGTTTTATGTATTCCTTAGGGTACGCACATAGTTGATTCTTTCTTACTCTTGTTGTGTCTAACTGTAACATTAAGCTGCTTCCACAATACCTTTTTTTCCATTTACATGCAGTATTGTAAAATTTATTTCTTTTGTTAACAGGATGAAAAGCAATTTAAAAAATAGCCACACCCAAGACAACAAAAATAACGTACCCAACGGAAGTGCAGCATCCAATGCCTGGTAAAACATCATCATCATTTGTTACATCCGCAAAAGGATCTTCCACAACAAAATTAATTTTCAATAAAAGACTAACAGATACACAAACTCAGACTGCACAACTAAACGAGACAGTAACATAAAAAATATTAAAAACACAAACTGCAACACAATCAAAACCAAAGACAATTACAAATAGACAAACTCTAATTCAATCAAAACCAAAGACTATTACACAAACTCCAGCACAACCAAACCAATAACCTAAAATAATTAAAAATACTCGAATATCAAGGCTAGTAAAACAAACAGAAACACAAATAAAACAAATGCCAACACAACAAAATTAAGTAAAAAACAAATACCAAAAACTGAAAGCACTACAAGTATAAAAACATTAACACAATTTAAACAGCCTGAAACACCAAAACCAACAACAAATCGGAAAAATTTAAAGAAACAAGTAGCACCAAAAAAAACATTACAGAAAACAAAACTTAATTTACGATTTACACCACCACGCACACCACCAACACCTACTAAACAGGAAGTACAAAATTTTGTTGTACCATTACACCTTTCACCACCTGCACCTCCAATAAGCCCATTACGATAAACACCACCACGACAAACACTACCACAAACAGAAATAAATGCACAATTAGACAACCAAATTTTAAATATTTACAATAATCTACAAAAATTCAGGCATGATTCCCTCACAAAATTTAAATAATGTTAAAAATATCATTCTTTTATTTTTTTTAATCATTTTTTTAATATACCATTTTTCTGTGATATTCATATATATATTTAAATTGTTTCTTTTTAAGATTTTAGTTAAGATCTTTATTCTTATTATTACTAGTATTATTATTATTATAATTAGTATTATTATAACTATTATGATTACAAGTATTATTATTATTATTATTATTATTATTATTGTTGTTATGTATAGTATTATTAAAATAAGATTGTAATTTTTCAATTTTATAGATATTTTTATACAATGAAAATATATATTTTTTTGATACCAAAATAAATGTATGACTTTTTAATATATTAAATAGGTAAACAATTAAAACTCATATTTAAATTTGTAATTTTTCATTTTTTATTATTAATATAAAAAAAAGTTTTTTATACATATAAATAACATTCATATTTAAGCATTTTCTTTAAATTCCATATTATTATACGGTCCTC